TTTCTACTTTCTCAAGCCAGAAACTTAAGAGTGGCTGACACATCCCTAGCCACCCTCCACGTCAACTCAGTCATGAGGATTGATCTCACCTCTACACACCCTTTAACTGTGCATGTCTCTTCGACCCCACAGCCCCTTCTCTGGCCTAAAATACCACCCATCATCTTCTGCTTAGCAGCTGCTAACTGGTCTTCCTGCATCCTGCTCCCCTACCCACTCCATTCTCCACTGCAGCTCAGTGAGTCATCTTTCCAAAAGCTTCTGAGCTGAAATCTCTTCTAAGGCTTCCCATTGTCCTCTGAATAAATCTCAAACCCCAGATCCTCAACCTGCCTGATAAGGTCCAAGATATTCAGGTTCCTACCTATGCTTCTAGCTTCATCATCAATTGCCACCTCATAATATCTATCTATACCCCTTGTTTGATTTTTTCCACTGCAGCGCCTAACCTGGTGGGCTCTGTCTGTCTGTTGACCACCCCCCACCCCCCCGCCACTAGCAAGTGCCGCTCAACCTCCAGGCTCAGTTTAAAAGTACAGGTAAAATGTCCATGCCTCACAGAGAAAGGACAGGTCACCCCATTAGACACTGCTCTAGCATCTTGCTTTTCACCTGGTACCATTCATCTCACCTGGGATGACTTTTCACATATCTGCCCCGCTCGATGGTGATTATTTATTTATTGTTATTATTTTTAATAGGCTGTCTCCCCCACTGGAGCACAGGTTCCATGCTTACTGCTGGGTCCATACTGTCTGGCCCAAGGCCTGACACTTGAGAATATTTGTTAAATAAACAAAGAAATAAGTACAGGCTTTCTGTATTTTAAAAAATCTTTTCAAATTAAAGACAAAAAGGAAAAGAAAAGAAATCGACAGATGACGAGGACTAGTTATCTTTTTCTCCTAAACACAAATGGGTTAGATAACTAAGTAATTTGTGCTTCAACATTCTTTCTTCTACATTCCATATAGACTTGTCCTCGTCTCTCTCTGCCCTTGTTATTACATCATCTGTGTCCTTTTTTCATTTGAACGCACATATTCATAACAGGGCACAACTCATTAAGTCTAAAAATAATTTTCTGCTTACACTTTGCATGGGTTCCTGCTTGATGAACAAAGAGTACTTTGTCATAAGTGAGCTTTCTCCAAAATTGAGTACCGGGTATGCGACTTCTGGGAAGACTTGGTGCAGAAACTGAGCACTGATTCACGGTTGTGTCCGCCACAGAACTCTTGTCCCTTGTTAGGGGCTCATCTTACTTTAGGTCCAGGAGCCACCAGTCTATGAATGCTCCCACCCCACAGCAGCTGGGTGTTAGTGGCCTGCTGCGGGCTGCACCAGGTTCCGTGTGCCCCTCTGTCCTCCGTCGGGCACAGCAGGTGCAGTGCCAGAGTCCACGATACTTTGAAAGACCTACCAAAAAAGCATTCATTTCTTTTAAAATGAAAAGGAAAAAATCAACTTTTAAGTCAGAGAAACCGTTTTGATATGTAGTATTAATAACTTTGTCTTTATACTAATGCAGTTGTAAAAGATAATTTTTAACCTTTTTTTGTGGAGGAAGGGTCACACAAAGGTGGAAGTGCTGGGCCCCCGGAAACCTTTCAGAGTAAGCAGGGTCAGTCCTTACGCCTCTCCCTCTGGAGCCAGGACACTTACTGTTCCAGGCTTGCCTTTCCCCCATTATCATTTGGAGTGTTTATTTAGATTTCCTCTTTAACCTTCTGCACTGTTCTGAAAGCACAGGATATGACACGGCTCGATGGCTAGAATGGACCTCTATTATTTCCACGATCAGAATACCAATATCCGAACTACTCCAGACCTGTAGGAATAGCCCAAAGCAGACAACCCTCTCGGTTGATGCGGGCTGTGCTCTTGGGAAGTCCCCGTGGTCGCCCTGTGATCTGCATGAGTCCTGTCTCCAGGGTGGGCATGGGTTGCAGTGCAGGCAGGCCCTGGCTGAGGAATGGAGAGACACTGAAGTGGCCGTCATTGCGCAATGCCACATCCTTTTCATGGCCCTCGACGCCTTGGGGACACTGGTACCAGAGGAAGTTTTAAAAATAGCCTATGTCTGAATGATCCAAGAACAAACAGAAAAGACTCGTGTGGCTAAAATGAACAGGGTTTTATATTATAACTGCAGTTGTATGGTTTAAATCAGTTTCCTTCTAGAGCAGCAGCCGACTGCCAGAAATCTTATCTGTGATTCTTTTTTCTTTTCTGTAACACATTTTAACAAAATTTGGGTAACTTTGGACTTTAAATGATACACCAGTTTATAGCCCTGCCAGTCGTGTCCCCTTCTCAGGCTTATCCCTGCTTCCCCAGCCCCGGCCACACCTGTCACCTTCTCCAGCTCTTCATTTCACTTTCCACTCTCCTCAGTGAAATCAGAGAATGAGTCTAAGGGAAGCAAAATAAATACTTCAGCTGCTTCTCTCTTTGTTTTGTTTTTGTGGAAAAATCTGTGTGGCTGAGTAATTCTGGATGCGACTCTGCAGAAGAAAGCTGTAAGATGACGTTCTCTTCAGGGAAAGCATTGGTCCAGGCCTCAGCAGGTTTGGGTTCTAGTTTTGTCCCTGTGACCTTGCTGTGTGACCTGGGACATGACTCTTTACCCTCTGAAACTTGAGTTCATCATTTGTCAAACAAAGAGCACAGTTTCCCCAGCAGGGTTACATGTGAGAGTAGAGGAAGAAGTAGAACCGGAGCTAGTTTGGTAGACTTTCTTTGGGACAAGTCAACGTCCCCTTAGGCCAAAGTGTACTATCCACTTTGGAGATCATCTAGAGTGGCTTAATTCCTGGTCCTAGGGAAATGGAGCAGGAGGGAAGGCTAAACAGAGCTGTTGTGCCTCAGGCTGCCTCCCTGCACATGTGCACCTGTCACTGTGGCCTGTTGTTTTATGCAGCGTGTGTCTTCTCTTCTCTCCTTTAACTTGGGGTGAACTAAGGGAAGGCTAAACAGAGCTGTTGTGCCTCAGGCTGCCTCCCTGCACGTGTGCACCTGGCACTGTGGCCTGTTGTTTTATGCAGCGTGTGTCTTCTCTTCTCTCCTTTAACTTGGGGTGAACTAATATAAAAGACCAAAGGCCCCAGCCTATTCAGTAGGGGTGTGCTCTCAAGGATAGAAAAAACTTCACATCCTAAAGAAATAACCAGTGAAGTCCTTCCTGGTCTGCCATGGTATCGATGTGCACCTGTCACTGTGGCCTGTTGTTTTATGCAGCGTGTGTCTTCTCTTCTCTCCTTTAACTTGGGGTGAACTAAGACCAAAGGCCCGAACCTATTCAGTAGGGGTGTGCTCTCAAGGATGGAAAAAACTTCACATCCTAAAGAAATAACCAGTGAAGTCCTTCCTGGTCTGCCATGGTATCGGAAACCCATGCTTTGCTGAGTTTTAATTCATCTAGGCAGCATGTTTTGAGCATCCATTTTGTGTCAGGCCCTGTGCTTAGAGCCAGGGATGTGAAAATCATCCCTTGCCTCTTTGATGTTCTTCTTTTGTCACTCTACCTCTCTACAATCTATCTCCAAATAGAGTTAGAATGGTATTTTAAATATGTAGATCATCTACTTCCCTGTTCAACCCCTCTAGTGGCTTCCTTTAGTATTTAGGGTAACATCCAAACCCTGCACCTTCTACTACAGGGCCCTGCAGGTCTGGCCTGAGCCTACCTCTCTGACCTCGCTCTACCCTTTTTGTTGTTGCAGACACCAATGTGATTCCTAAATCATGCCTTTTTTTGGTGTGAGGGTGGGAAGGACCTCAGACACATTGAGTTGAGTTCATCACAGTTCTCAGGTTAAGGCACATTACCATCTCAAGTCCCCTCCCTTGCTTTGTGTATTTATTCTCTTTTATCCCCAATTCTTTTATTCTCAATTCCCCAACTCCATTTTATACCATTCCTCTCCCTCCTGAAATATTTCAAGTTTATCTTCCGTTTGTATGTATTCTAGTAGAATGTTATATCTTGTGGGCATATATTTTAAATACACAGGGTATATTTTATGCTTTTCTCACTCATCACTAGGTTTTTAAGATCTAACCATATTGTCAAGGCCATGTCTGGGCATACCATGTACACATTTTAACTATGCACTTTCCCAGTGATGGATACCAGATTGTCTCCAACTCCCCACCTCCAGGAATAATCCTGCAGTGAACACCCTGCTAGTGTAGGGTCCTGTGTGATGGCCACAGGAGGGCACCTGCTGGGCACAGGGCATGCCACATACTTAATGTGCCCAAGTAGTGCATAGCTGCTTTCTAGAACTGCCTCACTGGCCCCAGGGCCTTTGTACCTGCAGTCTCCTCAGTCTGGAATAATTGTCTTCTGGGTTCCTAAAGGGCTTTCTCCTGCTCATCAGTGAAGTCTCAGCTCAGATTATCACTGCCTGAGAGAGGCCTTTCCAGTCTTGCAGTTAGCCCCACAACCCACCCTCCTCAGGTTACTCTGTCATTTTTATTCATATTTGTTACATCATAGCGCTTTTCACAATTCGAAATGATCTGCGGTCACTTATTTATAATCTGTCTTTTCCCCATGAGGGGAGGGAACGCTGTCCTGCTCACTAGGCATGTAGCATGGCCCTAGCATATGGAAGGCTCTCAACAGATATTATTGAATATTGAATTAATGAATGAAATAATACATAAGCAGTACTGTGGTATCAATCTCTTCAGATCTATGGTTAGAAAAGCAGGGAACGTTAAGGGGCGAGACAGGTAGGGAAGGCTCTTTAAAAGGGACCTAAAGGGCAGCTGGAGGTCCTGGTCATCAGTGCCTCTGCACTCGGCTCAGTTCCACAAGTCCACACCTTTATATCCATCCGTAACTTTTCAGAATGTTCCCATGCGGCCCTACCCGCCTGTCCTACTGGTGCAATCCCCGGCAAGCCCGCAGGGGGCGCCCAGAACACGCCATCCAGGGAGAACTAAAACTACATTTCCCAGCATTCCGCGCGTGGCCCACCCACTTCCGGAGCCTGCGAGCAAGATGGCGGCTTCCGAGGAGCACGATTCTCCGACCGAAGCGCCCCAGCCGGCGGTGGCGGAGGAAGAAACCAAAACATTTAAAGACCTGGTGAGAATGGGTGACGCTGGCTTCTTTTGTACTGGTGGCGCTAGGCCCTAGGCGGGCTCGGTTACCTTAGATCGCAGTCGGTAGTGTACACAAGCATCTCGGGGCCTGGCGTAGCTTTCCCCCCAAATTTCAGAAGCTTGGGTTCTGGACGCGCTCCCGCGGCTCTGAGTTTGGGTGTTGGGAGGACAGTCGTGCCCTGAGAGTCCCTATTTGCCCTTTTCTCCACTTTAGTGTGGCGACGTTTGTTATCCAGGAGGTTGTACGTGAATCGGTCTTTTTATAGCTGGACTTTTGAGTCAAAAGAGCCAACCGGGTTTGAATTTCGACCCAGTCACTTACTAGAGTTCAGTTGATACCTCTCTGCTTCACTTTCCACATTTGCAAATTGGGGATAATAATAAATACTTACTTCGCAGAATTGTTGCGACGATTAAATGTTGTAATACGTGTAAAGCACGTGGCTTTGTCCCCTGTGGGTAGAAAGTGTTGTCTTCAGTTACTGTCTCATGGTACTGAGATGCACAATAAATACCTTTAAATCAAGTGTAAAGGCTGTACTTGTCACCAGCAGAATGGCTCTGACAAAATCATTTAAGTAGGAGGGAGGTGGGGATGGTGGTGCTGTTCTTTGCTAAGGTGTTTTTTTCTGTATTCTAAGGGTGTGACAGATGTATTGTGTGAAGCTTGTGACCAGTTGGGATGGGCAAAGCCCACCAAGATCCAGATTGAAGCTATTCCGTTGGCATTACAAGGTAGGTAATTAAATATGTGACCCAGTACAGATTCAATATGAAGTTATACTCAAATCCTTACCACTTTTGAGAGCTATTGCTTGCATACTTCAAATGAAATAAATATATGGTCACTACAGATACAAAGTTTGGTCTTACTGGCTTTTGAAAATGTCAGTCATTTTCCAGTTTTACTGAGCTTACTTTTGTTTTAATAACTGAAGGGGTTTATTTTCTGCCACAGATGCTGACTTTAATGAAGCACTGGATTAAAGTGTACTGACAAGAAACTTGTTAGAAATTATGAATTGGTAGGTGTACACTTACACGTAAGGATGCCTGGAACATATATTCTTGTCTAGTGGAGTTGAGAGCTCTTACTGTGAGACATGTTTGTCGGATTTTCAGAATGGTTAAAGTGACAACTGATGACTAGTGACACTGAAACTAACAGATTGTACTTTAATGGAGTTGAAATAAAATCCTTGTTTTAGATTCCTAAAATGCTAACTTTACGGGATTAGGATAGGTGGTAAAAGAGACTCAGAGGTGTTAGGTAACTGAAATTAGTTAATATCCTCAGAGAAAGTGAATGTAATCTAAGCTACATTACTATAAGAGGAGGGTTACATTTTTGGGTTCCTTATCCCTTTGAGAATCAAATAAAAATAAAAGATTTCTTCTTTATAAAAATGCATATATATTTACACACATGCAATTTTGCATATAATTTCAGAGAGTTTAAGACTCTCCTTTCCCCTCACCCTGAACTCCTCTCTTATGAGTCCCAACTTAAGAATTCCTGGACTAGAGCTAGAGATAGAACAGTGCATCACAGTGGTTAGAACACACTTAGAATACTATATTGCTTACTTCTGGGGACAATTTTCAGGGACCAACTGAGGGGCAATGATTGTGGTATAGTATCAGGAATAATCGCTACTAGTTGAAGGAACTGAGTGCATTTGATCTGGGAGAGTGAGAGGGTAAGATGTGATAATTATTGGCTTTAAGGATTTGAAAAGCTGTCATGTGGAAAAGGGATTAGGTTTATTCTCCTTAATTCCATTTGCTTCTTCCGTAAGTAGTTACGGAGTATGTGATGTACGTGTAAAGGTTAAGAGTGTCCTCTCCAAGAATTCAGTCTAATAAGGAGATAATTATAAATTTATTACAAGGTGAACAGGAACATAAAAAAGTTACATTAAGTGTTCACACATGGAGTAGAAGAGATTATTTCTGACTGGAATGGATTAGAGAAGATTTATTTCATTTTATTTTTTGGCTGGGGACGTTGGGAAGACATTTGAGCTGAACCTTAAAGACTGAAGTTAGAGAGATTTAGGTATTCAGATATGTTGGGAGGGAAGCACTTTCTAGGCATTGGGAACTACAAGGAAAAAAGCCAAGGAGGCTGGAAAACATCGGCATGTGTGGAAATTGGCAAGTACCTAACACAGAGTGGTGAAAAAGTCTAGTAAGGTAATTAGGACCAGATTATAAAGGAGTTGAATGCTGAATAAAGGAATTTGGTCTTTGTTCCATAGGCCTTGGAGCACCTTTGGGGATTGTTTTTTAGCAGGAGAATGAAATCCTTAGAGTTGTTCACTTGGAAGATTAATCTCAGCTGTGTAAGATCGTTTAGCAGTCTGGAAGCTGGGAAACCAATTAGGAGATCATTGTAATAATTTTGGCAATAAATAATGGGTAGGGTATTGGTAGTGAGAATGAAAAGAGAAAATGACAGATAAAGAACATGATTTTACAACCAGTTAGGCAAGTGGAAGGCAAGGGGTAGAAAAATCTGAGATTATTGCAGTTTCTGGGCTATGTGTTTAGGACGTATTATTGGTGTACCAGTGATATAAAAAGGGAACACAGGAGGAAAAATAATTTCAGGAAAGATAAGTTCATCTGGAAATAATCCATTTCAGATATCAGTGATATAGAATTGGAGGAGGGGGAAATGAGGAGATGTTGGTCAAAAGGTACAAAGTTTCACTTAGGATGAATAAGTTATGAAGATCTACTGTCCAGCATGGTTACTACAGTTAATAATGATGTTTTGTATATTTGAAAACTTCTAAGAGAGTAGATCTTAAATGTTCTCACCACAAAAAATGATTAGTATGTGAGGTGATAGATATGTTAATTAGCTTTATTTAATCATTTCGCAATGTATACATATATGAAAACATCACATTGTATACTGTAAATATATACAATTTTCATTTGTCAATTATGCCTTAATGAAGTTGGGGAAAAAAGAAAATAGAAAAAAAGTACACTGTTGGAGTTTAAGGATTAGAACTTGATTGAGAGGCCAGAACTGGATTTAGACACCGTATCCAAAGGGAGGTTATAGGTGAGACTGCATACGGGCTATGGGTGAGGTTGCCAAATGAGGCTAGAGATGACAGAGAGGAGAATTGGAAGGTTCGCTGGAGGCTGAAAATCATGAGAGTGTAGTTTCAAACGAATTAGGTATCGGAGAGTGTTTCAAGGGGGAAGAGAGTAAACACTTCAACTTGGGTAGTAAAGTTAGGAGGATAAGGTCTGAATAAAGGCTGCTGGTGGGAAAGAATTTATCAGCAGTCAGCAGTTCCAGAGTTGCTTTCAAATAGCAAGAACAGTTGGTGCCTTTTGATTTTTGCCAGCATAGGTGGGAAGAAGGAATCAAATTTAAGTGGTGTTAATAATTCTAAAGTTATTCTAATGTTTTCAGTCAAAAATTTGAATATGATGCAGAGAAGAATAGGGCTTAGTGGAGGATCCCTGGGAACTGAGAAACATGATTGAAATGATCACCATGGAAAAGGTCTTCATCCTTCTTGGGCCTGTCTCCTTCTGCTGAGCAGTTTATAAATCCTTCATTTGAATCTATAGATTTTGGCCCTAAGCAAATGATTCTGATAATTTAAGTTTTTTTTTTTTTGTTGTTGTTGTTCTATTAAATTAACTTTTAAATTTTAATTTGAGACTAATAATGGCCTCAGTTTCTGCAAAGTTACTAAGTCCTGGGTCATCCATTATTCTTAAACCTGATAACAGTCCTGAAAGATAGGAATGCTTATTTTATTGGTGAGGAAATTGAGGCTCAGAGGGTAAGTTTCTTGGCAGTCACATAACTAATTATTGCTACAGGCTGGAATTTGAACATAGAATCTTGTTGCTCAAAACCTGTGTTTGTGCCCCTGTATCACAAAATGTTACTGTGGAGAGATCAAAATCTTTTGATGGCTTTTGAGGATGATTTCCTTCCCATGTTTTATGTATTAGGTTTATTTCCATTTCAGAGATCACTTAGAGTCATCCTTTAGGAATTTCAGACAGTTCGTTAATGGCCGCCATATAGCAAAGCACTTACGTTTAGTGCGAGCAATGTGTATGGTGAATATGACAAAAATTTATTTTGCTCTTATGGAGTTTATGCATTCCTAGTGTACTCTACACAGATATCAGCACTGAAAAGACTTAGAGGTTTTGAGAGGAAGGAAGGAGACGGTATAGAAAAAATTATTGGTTTCACAAACTGAGGGTTGCTGGAGGGAATCATAAAAAACCTGAAAGTAGCATAGAGCACAGTGGGCAGTGGGCATCGCTCATTGTCTCATGGATTGAGTGACATAAGCTCCTTTACTTCCCTAAATTTTTCATATGTATTCCTTTCTTCTGAAGTTTTAAGATTTCCCTTGACAAGAACAGGAGAACTAATTCTAGCTCCCTTTCCCCCTCCTGAAGGCACATGGCACGTGTGGTACACAGGTAGGGAAGGCAGAATCCCCATGTAGTTGGGGAATAAGAAGCTTGGAAATTATTAGCTTACATTGGTCTTTATTTCTTAAATTGCAATTGGAATTTATTACACCTACCCTGCAACCAAGGAGAACATTAAAATAAGTAGAGGAATGAGAAATTTTATCTCTGGATTGTCATTTGTTTCTATAATCTTTACAAAATTAGTCCATCGTTTGATCTTATGTGTATTTCACATCTGTGCATATACTTTTGAATGGAAAACACTTAATTTCAAGATAATATTTTCCTCTCCTGTCTTCCTAGCTGTTCTTTTCTCAGTTTCTTCTCCCAGTTCCTTTCCCTTTGCCTTACAGTATTGATTTTGTGTTCATCCTTTTTTCTTACTCTAAAACACTAGACATTTATGGGCTCCAACCTAGACCTACAGAATCAGCATTTCCAGGTAGGGACCTAGGCATGTGTATAGCTGTAAAGACCTCATAGGTTATTCTGATGTGTTTGTCCCAGGGGAGCACCACTGGCAGGACACTGATGGCTCCCACATCTGTATTTCTAGCCCATGCTTTTCTTTTTTTTTTCTTTTAATTTATTTTATTTATTGAATCAAAATCAATTATACATATTTTGGGGGTTGAACATTGAGATATGTTGATTGAATCAATATTACTAGTATATACATTGTTACAAATCGTAATTATTCTTTATGCCCCTTGTCCAACCTCCTCCCTCCCCCCTCTAATTGCCCTAGATTTCGTCTCTCCTGAAAGAATAATGGTTACTCTGTTAACTTGTTGCCTAGATGATCTGTCCAATCTAGCCCACACTTTTCTTCTGAGCTCCAGACAGCTATGTCCAACTGATTTTTAGATAATTCTCCCTGAATTTACTGCAGGAACCTTAAGTTCCTTGTGTCTGAACCAGACATTATTTTCTTCACCAGAATGGATTTTTCTATGGCTCCTGTTTCAGTTTTTTGCTTTTGAGTTTCCCATACTGAAAACTGTGTGCCACCCACATTTCCTTTTGTTGCTTTCTGAGTGTCACTTGTTCCTGTCCTCACTGCCTTACCTCAGTTCAGGCCTCCATCATAACTCCTCTGAATCAAGTCTGGTATTTTAGCTGAACTCTTGTTTTCCCTGTTCTGGTCATTTAAGTCATTTTAGGTTGTAAGGAACAGAGTTATGTTTAGGTTGCCCCTGAGAAAAGGGGTTGATTGTAGGAGTATCTTCTAGATAACTGCCTTCTCAGCAGTCACACGGTTATAGAACAGCGCGAGCAGCAACTGTGGGGGGCATTACTTCATCCCCACTGGGCATTGTTTTAGTGCACAGCCACCTCATAGGCTGTAGCCCACCTAGAGATGGTAGTCGTAGCTTGGAAGTTAGTTTCCCAAATTATGGCTTAACTGCAGATAACAAACCATGGTGACCTATTCTGCAGGAATTTCTTATATTCTCTCAGAAGGAGCAGTGTAAATGGCGCATACTTTTAAGGTCTTTGGCTCCTCCTTATGCCACGAGGCATAGAATTTATATTCGTAAAGATAACATGGATCATGAAATTCCCTGTGAGTTTCCTTTCTTGCCTTCTGTGTTCCAGCACATTGTCCTTCGCACTTTTCCCATGTACACTGTGTTCTTTAAAGCCTCCATCCTGTTTTCTCATATAGAAATATCCTTCCTTTCCCCTTGGCTTACTTCCACATTTAACTCACTCATCACGTCTTTGGCAGTAGGTGTTTTCTTTTTCTTCTAGGGCGTGACATCATTGGGCTGGCAGAAACTGGCTCTGGAAAAACAGGGGCCTTTGCTTTGCCCATTCTGAATGCTCTGCTGGAGACGCCCCAGCGTTTGTTTGCCCTGGTTCTCACCCCTACTCGGGAGCTGGCTTTCCAGATCTCAGAGCAGTTTGAAGCCCTGGGGTCCTCTATTGGAGTGCAGAGTGGTAAGTGTCTAAGAGGAAAGGAATCCTAGAGTGTCATCACAAGTGCAGAATGACTGCGAAGGGAGAATCGGGAAAGTATTAGCATGAGTTCTTAACCTAAAGAGCTGATGATGTATTTTAGCTTTGGGAAAAGTATTAATTGTAAGGGAAGAATAAATTTAGGTAGAAATATAGTATTGGCTTTAAAACATGTTCAGTGGGCTATGGAAAAAATTATGGATCTTTTTTCTTTCTCTGTTCTTTTTATTTTTGTAGCTGTGATTGTAGGTGGAATTGATTCAATGTCCCAATCTCTGGCGCTGGCCAAAAAACCACATATAGTAATAGGTGAGTAATTGACAAAGGTAAAAGATACTGACAATGATGAATATGTTGAATGGAAAGACTTTAAGAAACATTTTTATACCCTGTTTAATTTTTTAATTTCTTAAATTAAGAAATGGTGTGGAGTAGATAACTTACTTTCTTTTTGTTCATGTCCTAAAATATTGCTCTGTTGATCTTTTGAAAGAATCAACTTTCGGTTTTGTTGATTTTCTCTATTGTTTTTTTTTTTTTTTTTTCCTTTTTGTCTTTTTTTACTGACTGGTAACGGGATTGCAAGCCTCGGTGTCGCGCCCGTACCATGCTCAGCCAGTGAGCGGGAACCGGTCTCCACATGGGATCCGAACCCTGCGGGAGCGCCGCCGCACTCCCAAGCGGTGCACTCTCCAGTGCGCCACCGGGCCGGCCCTTTCTCTATTGTTTTTTAATTCTCTATTTCATGTATTTCTGTTGTACTCTTTGTTATTTCCTACTTGTATTTGCATTTGGTTTAGTTTGCTCTTCTTTTTCTATTTTCTTAAGGTAGAAGTGTACATTACTGATTTGAGATTTTTCTTATTTCTAATATAGGTGTTTACAAGTATAAATTTTCCTATAAGCGCTGCATGACCCCTGCATCCTATAAATTGTGATATGTTGTGCTTTGATTTTTATCTCAAAGTATTCTCTGTTTTCCCTGTGTTGTTTAATTTCCACACATTTATGAATTTTCTAAATTTCCTTCTGTTATTGTAAAAAAAAAAAAAATGAGTAAAACATTGCCCTTTCTCCTCAACCTTTCTTGATAGCAACTCCTGGTCGATTGATTGACCACTTGGAAAATACGAAAGGTTTCAACTTAAGAGCTCTCAAATACTTGGTCATGGATGAAGCAGATCGAATACTGAATATGGATTTCGAGACAGAGGTGAGTTCTCGATTTCTTTTTCTTGAGCATTTCAAATTCCTGTTTCCAACTTTGGTTCTTTGACCACCTGTTTTATGGAGGGCACTGCATCGGTATTGGTTAAATTTCAGTGTCTCTGCTTTTTTCATTCTTGGTGCTTTTCACATTGTCATTGCCTCAGCACCCTCTTGTCTTTAGAGTATAGTCTGACTCTGACTTCAGAGATGAGAAATGTCAAAACCAGATTTTCTTTTCCATTTTGTTTGATTTAAATCTCTTCTATATACCTTGAAATATCTTTATTTTTTTTGATGACCCACTCAATATAGTTTATTTAGTTGATTAATGCCTATTCTTGGCTTTTCTCTTAATCTACTAATTGAAACTGTTCCTTTATCTGAATGGTATTATTTTTTTGGTGGCATCTGATATGGTAACAAATAGTAAATATTCAATAAATTTTAGCTGAATCGAATTGAATTTTTGAGGCTCACATCCCCACAGTGGTATATTTAGTTTGTTATCTCTACCTCCTTCACTATCTAGAGGATTGTAGGTGTCCAGTCTAAATGTTATTTTGGGGGCTGGCCTGTGGGTCACTTGGGAGAGCGTGGTGCTGACACCTCCAAGTCAAGGGTTAAGATCCCTTTACCAGTCATCTTTTTAAAAAAATAAAAATAAAAATAAATGTTATATTGGTCTTCTTTCCTCTTTGTGCCTTAGGTTGACAAGATCCTCAAAGTGATTCCCCGAGACCGGAAAACGTTTCTCTTCTCTGCTACCATGACCAAGAAGGTGAAATTTCCTTGGACTTCTATTTTCTTCTTTATAAGAATTGATACATAAAAACAATAGCAACAATAGTAACAATAAGTAAAAAGAAAAATAGAGCATTTAGGAATTAGTGTACTATTCTAAGTTTTCTTTTGTCAGGTGCAAAAACTTCAGCGAGCAGCTCTGAAGAATCCTGTAAAATGTGCTGTTTCTTCTAAATACCAGACAGTTGAGAAATTACAGCAGTATTATCTTTTTATTCCCTCTAAATTCAAGGTAGTGTTTACTTTGATCATTCCTGCCTCTCCCTCTCCTCATCAGAGCATGGAAGAATGTGTCAACTCTTGATTAGTTGAGAGCTTTGATAGAGACCTCAGTCCCTTCTGTTTGCTTTTAGAGCTCATGTTGTACTTATATTTATCACTGATAAGTCAGACATTCCAGGAATTCACAACATATTAAGCCACAATAATGAAGTCATGATGTAATGATAGAATTTCTTTCCAACCCCATCCTTAAGATAGTTTTTCCTCTGTCTGCTTATTATGTGGCTTTTTTGTAGGAAGGAGACCCTAATTTTGTGCTTTGATATAAGGACTTTTTCTGGTTGCTGAGTATAGATCTCCTTGTGCTTGGCTTCAGGCTATATGGGGGATGCATGGTCCACAGAGATGATAATGCTGGTTAAGAAGTGCATTAAAAAAGTTGACAGCTGGTGGTCTGGATAATTGAGAAGCAACTATAGGCTTAGTCTTTGCTTACTGTATATGCCAGGTTTCTTCCTTCTAGGTTCAATTACATATATTGTTTTGGGTTTGTAACTCAGGATACCTACCTGGTTTATATTCTAAATGAATTGGCTGGAAACTCCTTTATGATATTCTGCAGCACCTGTAACAATACTCAGAGAACAGCTTTGCTACTCCGAAATCTTGGATTCACTGCCATCCCCCTTCATGGACAGATGAGTCAGGTAAGGATTCTTTGGCCTAATTAGCTGTGAACTGATGTCATGAGAAAGATAAACCCTATAACCGTAGATTTGTACAATAAGGACATACAGCATTAATACCTATTTCCGTAATTGTTCTAATTTTCTGTGCTTCAAAGTGTTGCTGTGGATTACTTTCTCTTTTAGGATAGCTAGGGACTCATATTCAAATATTTTATGGGTAGTTATCTAGTTTGCAAGCTGTTGAGTTGATTTATTCGGCTCTAGTGGTAGTAGTGATTCTCCAGTTTCTAAAGACATTTAATAAATTATTTCCCAATTATCTTTCTGTCATGTTAAACAATCCCTATTTTGTGGTACTATTTTCTATAGTCTTAAATATTTTTTGTTGCTTCCATATTTCTATTTTGATTTGTGAAGCCTTATTCTGGACAAAGGGGAAAAAACTTTTAAAAATTTGTGTCTCTTGGTTCTTGTGTTTAGTGTGTCTGTTTTGTGTGTCTTATATTCCAAGATTCCTTAATTTTCCAAGATTAAAATTCTTCTCATTTCCTTTTTGTTATCTCAGAGCAAGCGCCTAGGATCCCTTAATAAGTTTAAGGCAAAGGCTCGTTCCATTCTTTTAGCAACTGATGTTGCAAGCCGAGGTTTGGACATACCTCATGTAGATGTAGTTGTCAACTTTGACATTCCTACCCATTCCAAGGTGAGTCCTGTTGCAAACTTGGCTTTTTCATCCCGAATTGTATGCCTTAATAGAATGTTTCTATCTTTCCTTAGGTACAACAGAGTTTTTTTGTCCTTGATTAGTTAATGATCAAAAACTGAGAAAGCTCTTGATTTCTTCATTCTTGATTTATTGTTTTGCACATGACCATGTATGTGACGTTAATAAATGTGAATGAAGGTAGCCAAGGAGAGTAATAGATGCTCACATTCAGAAGGGGCATGTGCAGCATATGCTAATCTAAGTCAGTCTCATTTCTTTTTTTTTTTTTTTAAAGATGACCAGTAAGGGGATCTTAGCTCTTGGCTTGGTGTTGTCAGCACCACGCTCTCCCAAGTGAGCTGACCGGCCATCCCTATATAGGGATCAGAACCCATGGCCTTGGTGTTATCAGCACCGCACTCTCCCAAGTGAGCCATGGGCCGGCCCCTTAAATCAGTCTCATTTCTTTAGAAATGACAGTTTGTAGTTCTTAGGGTATCTCAGGGTTTTTCAGTCTTGGCATTATTAACATTTTGGGCCAGCAAATTATTTGTTGTGGATGTTGTTCTCTGCATATTAGGATGTTAGCAGCATTCCTGGCCTCTACTCACTAGATGACAGCTCACACATCCTTCCAGTTGTGACAACCAGAAATATTTCCAGACATTACCATATATCCCCTGGGGATGTCAGAATCACCCCTGGTTGACAACTGGTGTTTCTTGGCTTTGTATTTAACTGCTGTAGACAAGGTGCTGTCTCATTTGATTTTCACAATAACTCTAAGTTCGGGCATGTATTTCTATCCCTGTTTGATAGATAGAAACCAGGGTTCAGACAGGTTATGTGATTTACAGATAATTGTGTAGCTGGCAGGTGGTAAAACCTCTAGATCCAGTGCTGTTTTTCCTTATACCATGTTGCCTGTACCCATTGTAGATATGTTGTATAGGTATGTCTTCCTATAAAAGAAAGGGAAGCATTGGATCAACTTTGTGCTGCAAAGAAAATAAAAAAGTTAAAGTAGATTTGTCTCAATAGATTGTCCAGGCTTTTTTTGTTCATGTTTCAACATGAATCTCTTTTCTTTCAAAGATTTGCAGCTAGACTTTGCATACATAGTTTTTTACTTATAATTTGGATAAACTGAATTTATTTACTCTTTTTGTTTCAGGATTATATCCATCGAGTAGGTCGAACAGCTCGAGCTGGGCGCTCTGGAAAGGCTATTACTTTTGTCACACAGTAAGTAAATCAGCTTTAGGGGCTAGCAATGTAGAGAAAAGAGCAGAACTTTGGAGCTGGACTGACTTGGAACCTGGCTCTACAATTACTTAACTAATCACCTAAATTCCCTCATCTTGGTTTTCATATTTGTAAAATGGAAATAATAATACCTTCCCAGCAGGGTTTTGATGAAAATTGGAGATCCGTGGCCTTGGTGTTATCAGCACCACGCTCTCCCAGGTGAGCCATGGGCCGGCCCTAGCTTCCTGGTGTTCTACCTGAGGGATGGAGAAACTTTGCTCATGGGTTCCTTTCTGAGTAGCTGAGATACATGTTTGTTTTTGTTTTTCTGCCCATATTGAATTTTTTTTTGGTATTTTTGTATATAAAAGAGTGTTGTTACATGTGCATTGGGGAAAAAATTTGGAAAATTCAGAAAGGATTAAAGTAGTAAATGAAAAGGTAAACCATCCCTCACAGAGAACCATTGATAACATTTGGCTATTTTTCTTTCATTAGCCGTAATTAGACTTTATCTAATTATATATGATTTACATTTTTCTGTTTTAACAAATATAGATCCATGTGATCATTTCTTAATGGCTACAGAGAATTTCGTCATGTATGTGTGACATGGTTTACGTTGATGGGTGTTTATGCTTTTTTGCACTTTTTTTCTCTTTTAACTAGTACTGTGTTGAACATCCTAGTGTGTACAGCTTTGCATACTTGTCTTGTTTTCTTAGAATAAAACTTAGAAATAGAATTTTTGGCTTAAGGAATATATGCGGTTAAATTTTGAATTCATGAAATGCCAAATTCCCCTCCTAGAAAAACTATAGCAGTTTGCACTGTTAGTGGCAGTATATGTAAATTTCCCCACACTTTGGCCAGTACTGGGTATTACCATTCTCTTAAATCTTTGCCAATCTGTCATGTAAAAGTACTAGGTTATTATTTTAATTTAATGCTTTGATAACTAGTAAGGTTAACCTTTTGTGTATTTGGAGTTGGGTCTTATTCCTTTGCTAACGTCAGGTATTGGGGAGTTACTACCTGTGTGATCCTAAGGAAGGAGGACTAGAATGAGTTGCCCTCAGTGACAGTAATTCATTTTCAGTCTCATTCTTTGTTTTCTTGCAGGAGTTAAGGGAGCATGGAGAAAAGAAGAAGCGCATGCGTGAGGATGTTGGGGACAATGATGACACAGAGGGAGCTATTGGGGTCAGGAACAAGGTGGCTGGAGGGAAAATGAGGAAACGGAGAGGCCGTTAATCACTTTTATAAAGACTTGAGTTCTGCTTTCCATTCTGTAAAAGGGGATTGAAGAAGAAAATGAAACCTCCTCCAAAAGAGTTCCTCAGACTGAAATTTGTCAGAATTATGTCCAGAATCTGCTCACCTGATTCAGGAGTCATTCCCCTTTCGGGGGGTTGGAGTATATTACTGCAGAGTAATTTTTACAGTGCTGGTGTCAGGACTGTGCCTGTTCTTCAGCTCTAGTTCCTTGCTCGTGGCGTGAGTAGGATGTGCTCTTCTGTGACTGCACACAGACCTTTTGCCTTCTTCAGCTGCAAGTCAAGAACCAGGTTGATGAAGCGCATCATCTGCAATTGTAAAGGAAAGAAGCTCCTGTGGCTGTATGTGATACTTAAGCCATCTCAGCTTGTGCTTCATTACATGTAATGTGAAACAATAAATTTAAGTATTTTTCAAAGATTCAAATTCCTTGAAGACCTTGGTGTTAAATGGCTTTATAAATTTAAATTAAGATCTTTTAATAGGTAAGAACCTGACAGTGGTGGTTATATGGCAAATTCATTGGTTGTTTAATTTAAGATAAACATTATTTATGACTTCTAAAGAAAAGATCAACAAAGAAACAAGATAATGGATAGCTTTGAAAAGGAAGTCAGGCTTAAAATGAGGTATGTTTTTCTTGGGGATGGAGCAAAGTCTGTCATTGAATGGTATTTTAGATCCCTGAATAGGTTCATCTCCCTGGTTCCCTGGATTAAGCAGGTAGTTGAAAAGACAGGTTTCTTGTGTAGACTCTTCTCCCAGGTGGCGAGAGTAAAATTAGGATGTATCAGAAATGTGGGTAATTCTAAGACCTGATATCTATTGTCATTGGTGCCCATTGGCCACTATCTTCTTTCTTTTGTCCCCATCTATTTGGTGATTTAGTTCTGGAGATGCAGAGCTGAGTCCTCAGGTCCTGGGGAGGAGATAGGCATTGGCGCTGTGGGGATGGGGTGGGGGAGGGGAGTGTTGCTGGAAATCAGAAACAGCTTTGAGCTTCCCCGTCATGCACAGTTTTGTGTTCTGAGGGCTTTTACACATGGGAGATGCCTAATAATTTTTGCTTAATTGTAGCAACTATATTAGAAGAGTGTATGTCTGGAGTAGCAGAACCAGGGTTAAAGAGATTCTAAGGAATCACTGTGATGGATTAAGGTAGGGAATGAAGTTTGTCAGAAGAGACATCTTAAAAGAAAGTGCATGTTCCAAATTGTGTTTAAAGTCAAAGTATCTGGTGAGAAGTGAAAGTAAAAGACAGTAAAATCCTCTGGTAGTCCAGGGGTAGACTGTTTATTGTAGGAAGATCTTTTTAAACATAGAGGTGGATTGTGTTCTACCACAGATGTATCCTAAGAGGGGTGCCTACGGATAAGGCATTTGTAACGAATCTAAATGGAGCAAATGGCTTATTTTGTTGTTTGGTTTGCTGAATTACATTGCTGCTCAATCTGGTATATCTGAGTGAAGGAGAAGTTAGAGGAGTCAGTAAGAAAAAGGAAAGGAGAAAAGGGGTAGAAGAAAATGAGAGGCAAATAGTTGAGTGGGGTCATAAGTGTGCCTCTGCCAGTTGTGTCTACCACTTGAGGCTAATTCTCTGTTAACAGTGCATTTTCCTGCTGGGACTCTCCAGGGTGGCTTAGGATAGCAACTCTGTCTCTGAGCCAATGGACAGTTGCTGTTTCAACTCAGTGGAGGACTTCAGAAGCAAGTTGAAATTGAATTGGGGTAGCAGTGGTGGGTAAGGAGAGACTGAAATTATCCTGAAGGATGTCTGAACTTTCTAAACAGGCAGTGGTCTCTAACCTGGGGTCTGTGAAGATATCAGGGGAGACTAAAAAGGTTAAAAATCACTACTTTAAAGCTTAATTGTTGTCTCTAAAGTGTATGCATAATGCTGCTTTGCTAGGATGGGAAGATAAGACACTAATGGAAGAAATGTGGACGATGTGTCTTCAGGCATATCAATAGGTCCAGAGCATAAACCAGAGTCCCAAACAGAAAAAGCAAAGATGCCACTGTGAAGGGCAGGAAGCAAAGAAATAAATGGATGTGACCCATTAGTAACGTGAGTAAGGCTTGTGGGTTTGCACTACTACTCAGAGCTATTCCTTGTGCTTCCTTGTTCTTTAAGGCGAGGTTGTGAAGTCTTGTAGCTGACGGCCTTACAGAGGTATGTATTAATTTCCTAAGGCTGCTGTAATAAAGTACCACAACGTGCATGGCTTAAAACAACAGAAATTTACTTTCTCACAGTTCTGGATTTTAGAAGTCCAAAATCAAGGTGTCGGCAGGGCCATGCCCTATCTGAAGGCTTAGAAAAGAATCCTTCCTAGCTTTTGGTGGTTGCTGGCAACATAACTCCATCTCTACCTCCATCTTCACATGGCCTTCTGCCCTGTGTGTCTGTATCTTCACATGGCCTTTTTATAAGGATACTAGTAATTGGATTTAGGGTGTATCCTAATCCAGTATGACCTCAATTTAACTAATTACATGTGCACAGGTCCTGTTTCCAAATGAGGTCAACTGAGGTTGTGGGTGGACACGGATTTTGGGGGCATACTATTCAACCCAGTACAAGGTGTATTTGTGGGTACTGCTACATTCTTTGGGGTTTAAGATTGCATTGTGGAGTAGAAATTGTGGATAGGATTATTACAAAGAAAGTGGAGAAGATGACATAGGTCTTCAGAAATATTAGTGAAATAGAGCTCCCTACACCCTCATAACATTCGCTAGCTTCTTCTGTAGAATTGCTTGCTTAACCTAAGTAACTCCATTTTACCCCGTCTGACCTGCAGACTACCCCCACTCTTCTGCATGAGAAACTGTTCACCTCATAGAAACAAAAGCTGTTGCATAGAAACAGGAGCCATACACAGTAAACTATTACATGGGAACAGGAGCCATACACAGTGAACGATTACATGGGAACATACACAATGAAAAGTTGTATGCTTGATTGCTCTAACGGCTCATTTTTGGCCTCTGTGACCTAGCTCCTTAGCTTGCTTTGTGTACCTGGACAAACCTGTGTGCCAACGGGATGTAGTTTTTGCCTTTAAAACCCCAGAAGACCAAGGCCCGAGGCCACTCTTCCTTGGTTGCTCCTTGGGAGATGGATGCTGGCCAGCTGGAGTGAATGAACTGCCCTTTTCTGCACGAGTGTCATATAAGTACATTTCTTGTAGGAGGGTGCCTCACAACATTTTGGAGGCCCCAGCGTTTCTCTCATGAGTATGTCCCTCCCTGCAATTATCTCTTTGGAGAAGATAGAGAAGCTGTTCCTCTTCTTCCTGGAGGCAGACGGGGCACTTTACTGTCTCCCCAGGTAGGTGAGATCTCAGTAAGGGACGGTACACCAATGGTTGGACTTAGTGGGAGACTGGGCGCAGCATTAACTCCCCTAGCCCTTGGAATCCCAAGATGTTGCTGGGCCCATTGGTAATTTGGATTTGGGTTTGGGACTCGCAAGTCAATAGGAATTGTGTTTCCATGTTTTTGTTCGTCTTTGTCATTGTGATTGTTGTGTCTGTGCATATCTTAGAGTAATTTTGGATGTGGCCACTTGTCTGTCTTTTGTGTTGCCGGTTATATGTTTTTGTGTGTCATTAACTGTGGTCTTATATAACAAATGGTACAAAATTCCTCCAAACAGGTCTATGGGACAACCCCCTTACATACAGGTTTGGATTGATATAATCTCTGACAAGCCGTCATAACTAAAAAGGTGCCGTAAAAAAATGTCCCAAGGTGAATGGAAATAGAACACCATCTGTGCTTTTAACTAAGCCTTCTCTTCCAGCTTCTCCGAAGAAAAGCGGCCC